GATTCGGAATGGGGGTCAGCTGCAATTTGCCCTTGTAATATTTGGCGTAGCGCCAGTATACGGCGTATGTCAGATATCCGGGGTAGAGGAACCAGGGCCACTTGGGCGCCAGCAGCTGCACGACGGAATTGTAGCCCTCGACTAGCTCCTGAACTCTTCCGGAGAAGCTAAATCTCGGCTGGCCGGGATCCTGTTGATCAAACGAAACCGAATTCCGCTTGCCCACGACCTTTTTCTGCGGGAATCGAAACGGCAGATTAGCTAATCGGGTTAATATATTAGTTGTCCACCTACCGCATCATCATTTTCATTCATTTTGTACAATACATATGGACAAATACACAACAGAAAGCACGAGTGCAAGGGTTAATTTCGATAGGCAGTGTCAAAGTTCAAGGAGTTTGGGGGGTGGGCGCCAGACAAGTACACTGAAATATGCAATGGCAAGTTAATCTAGTTAATGCACAGCAAGTTTTTACCCTCTGCAAAAGTAGCAAATTTATTTAGCCAGTTACGTTGGATTTTACCTTTTTTATAATTACTCTCCTCTTCATTACGAATGTTTTGGTTCAGGTAATAAAAACACTCCGAAAAATACCAAAAATCTAGGGACATCCCAGCACCGGCTACAGTGAACACCCAATAATTAGTAAGTAAAATGAATAAACAAGCTATGTTGATGAACTGTAGAATTCTTTAGTCTACATTTTTTTCTTAATTAAGGTTGCTTGTAAAACTTACATTAAACTAGTTTGAACATATAACAATGGTTTTTTTCTATATATTTGCTTTTAAAATGTGTTCCTCCCCCGATTGGTATTTGCTGTAACTTTTTGGTATACCTCGCAGATTTCAGTATATTTCAAAGTGCAGCATGGTATTTTTTGTCCACGCAAGCCTGGGCACACTCCCAAGCAAAACAAAAATAGTACAGGTTCCATTAATTTTTATTTTCCGCGAAAATGAGTATGGAAATGAGTAATATTAATGGTGGAAACGGCACCAAAACGTCCCACGACAAGCGCGAGCTGCTGTGCCTGCTGAAGCTGATCAAAAAGTACCAGTTAAAGAGCACGGAGGAGCTGCTCTGCCAGGAGGCTAATGTGAGCAGTGCGGACTTGTCGGGGATCAGCGAAAGTGATGTCCAGCAGGTGCTCGGTGCGGCTTTGGGGCTTGGCGATACCAACAGGGAGCAGAAGCCCGTCCCTGCACCGGCACAGGAGCACAAGCATTCCGCGGTGACGGAGGCCAATGCGGCGGAGGCACTGGCCAAGTTCATCGGCGACGATAGCTTCGATGCCCAGCACTACGAGCAGGCCTACAAGGAACTGCGCACCTTCGTCGAGGACTCCCTGGACATATACAAGCACGAGCTGTCCATGGTCCTCTATCCCATTCTGGTGCAAATCTACTTCAAGATTCTCGCCAGCGGACTGAGGGAGAAGGCCAAAGACTTCATTGAGAAGTACAAATGCGATCTCGACGGCTACTACATAGAGGGTCTGTTTAACCTACTTCTTCTGTCCAAGCCAGAGGAGTTGCTGGAGAACGACCTGGTGGCCGCCATGGAGCAGGACAAGTTTGTGATCCGCATGTCCAGAGACTCGCACTCCCTGTTCAAGCGACACATACAAGATCGCCGGCAGGAGGTGGTGGCTGACATTGTATCCAAGTACCTGCACTTCGACACCTACGAGGGCATGGCGCGCAATAAACTGCAGTGCGTCGCCACCGCGGGCTCACACATCGGCGAGGCCAAGAGACAGGACAACAAGATGCGGGTGTACTACGGACTGCTTAAGGAGGTGGACTTTCAGACCCTGACCACTCCTGCGCCGGCGCCGGAGGAGGAGGACGACGATCCAGATGCCCCGGATCGTCCGAAGAAGAAAAAGCCCAAAAAGGATCCGCTGCTGTCGAAGAAGTCCAAGTCCGACCCGAATGCTCCTTCCATCGACAGGATTCCATTGCCGGAACTAAAGGACTCAGACAAGTTGCTAAAGCTCAAGGCACTCAGAGAAGCCAGTAAGCGCCTGGCCCTGAGCAAGGATCAACTGCCCTCCGCTGTCTTCTATACAGTGCTAAACTCTCACCAGGGCGTCACCTGTGCCGAGATCTCAGATGATTCCACGATGCTTGCCTGCGGGTTTGGGGACTCCAGCGTGAGGATTTGGTCCTTGACACCCGCTAAGCTGCGTGCTCTCAAGGATGCGGATGCACTGCGGGAACTGGACAAGGAGTCGGCGGATATCAATGTGCGTATGCTGGACGACCGAAGCGGGGAGGTGACCAGAAGCTTTCTCGGTCACACCGGACCCGTATACCGCTGTGCCTTTGCCCCCGAAATGAACCTTCTGCTCTCGTGCTCCGAGGACAGCACCATAAGATTGTGGTCTCTGCTCACCTGGTCCTGCGTGGTCACCTACCGCGGACACGTCTATCCAGTGTGGGATGTGCGCTTTGCGCCGCACGGCTACTACTTTGTATCTTGCTCTTACGACAAAACAGCTCGACTGTGGGCCACGGATTCCAATCAAGCGTTGCGAGTCTTCGTGGGCCATCTGTCGGATGTGGACTGTGTACAATTTCATCCCAATTCCAACTACGTGGCCACGGGCTCAAGCGATCGCACGGTACGCCTGTGGGACAACATGACGGGTCAGTCAGTGCGCCTGATGACGGGCCATAAGGGATCGGTGAGCTCGCTTGCCTTCTCTGCCTGCGGACGGTATCTGGCCTCCGGATCGGTGGACCACAATATCATCATATGGGACCTTTCGAGCGGAGCGCTGGTCACCACCCTGCTGAGGCACACTAGCACCGTGACCACGATTACCTTCAGCCGCGATGGAACCGTGCTGGCGGCAGCCGGCTTAGACAACAATCTGACCCTCTGGGACTTCCACAAGGTGACCGAGGACTATATCAGCAACCATATTACTGTGTCTCACCATCAGGATGAGAATGACGAGGACGTCTACCTGATGCGCACGTTCCCCAGCAAGAACTCTCCGTTCGTTACCCTGCACTTTACGCGTCGAAATCTTCTCATGTGCGTGGGCCTTTTCAAGAGTTAGGATCGCATTATAGATTATTCGGTATACGTAAAGTAGTCTTAAGGAATGCACGAAATGTTTAGGATAATGTTTTGTAATCCGTTTGTCCCATTCCCCTGAAACGTCTCTTAGTTTTTTTTAAGCAGAAAAGTGTAAAGTGCATATATGCCCAAATTATCAATAAATTTAAATCAAAGAAAAAGGAGATTATTAGGGTCCTTATATATAATTCATATTTATTTAATAGTCATACAATGCATATACACAGATGAATACGCAGATGGAAACTACTCCGCATCGGCGATGCCAAACGTCCGTCGCACGGCTATCGAGTTTTTGATGTTGAAGATCGCACAGCGCGGAGGCTTCTCCCCGCCGAAGGCCAGGGTGTAGGGATCCTCGGGACACTGGCGCATGCACTGCAGGCGCCCCATGTTGAACTCGTGCTCGTAGACATGCTTGGCCTCTGTGCCGTTGAAGTTCCACACCTTGAGAGTGCCCTCCGTTGATATTGAGGTTAAAAGGTTGGGCATCTGGCTGTTGAAGCATACACCGGAGATTTCCTCGTTGTGGGCCTTTACGGACCACAGCACCTGGCCGGGAGATCGCTTGTCGGCGTAATGCAGGCTACCGTCGTTGGTGCCCACGATGAAGTAGTCGTTCTGGGTGGGATGCCACAGGACCTTCTCGACCTCGCCGTCCACTTTCCACTCGATGCTGGACGAGTTCACAGCATCAGAGTCGCGGCAGTCGAAGAGTCGAACAAATCCATCGGCACAGCCGGTCAGAATGCTCTGGGCCTCTTGGGGATGAAACTCTATCGACTGAATCTTCTCGCCGAAGGCAGTGATGGTGGTATGCGGCTGACCCTCGTCCATGTCCCAGAGAATCACCGTTTGGTCCACGGAGCCGCTGGCCAGAATGTGCTCAAAGTTGGTGTTCCACGAGAGATCCAGCACGGCGTCCTTGTGTCCGTACTGTTCCTTGTTCTGCTTGCGACTGCCCTTGGAGCCCAGCTTAAAGGTGGGCTCTATGGAGTCCTGAATGTCCAGGTCCCAGATGGTGATGATCGGATCCATGCAGCCGATGGCGCACATATTGCCAGGTTTATCGCTGCCCGCGTCGTGGTTCATCCACTCGATGCAGAGCGGAAAGCTGGGCAGCAGGAAGTCGTGGTGCGTGTAGAGGGCCTCCTCCTCCTGGTTAAACACCCACACCTCCATGGAGGCGGCGTCGTCCTGGACATGGCCCACGAGAATCAGATTGTCGCTGGGCTTGATCACCTCGTCCTCGGCTTCGGAGTCCTCGTCCTCATCGGGGACTTGCTCGTCGGGTTGCACAATGTTGGCCAGGCTGGTTACATTGGCGTTCTCCTCGTTGTCGTAATTCTGGAACTCGAACTCGTCCTGGGGATTGCGGTTTTCACTGTTGGCATCCTCGTTGTCGTCCACATCCATGCCATTGGTGTCATCATTGCCCTCCTCCGCCTCCTCGTCGCTTTCTTCGTCCAGTTCCTGTTGCGTATCGCCGATAATCCTCGCCAGCTCCGCCTGCGTCAGCACGATCTTGTCGGGACGATCCTTGGCCACGCCGCGTGGTACGAAGCACAGGGCGGGAACAAAGTCGATGCTAGCCTCCGGTGGTCCTTCCTCAGCCATTGTGGGTAAGTGTTTAACAAAGTTTGCCCCACCAAACGAAATGGTAAACACGTGCAGCTTAGTTTAAACGAGGCTGGTAGTGTGACCGTGGGATATCAACTATAGTAATACTAATAGCTCGAGAAAAATACCAAAATTTGGGAATCTTAAAAAGATTTTTTTTTAAAGTCAATTCTATACGTTTATCAAGTCCACCTGTTGCTCATATCATCTGTGATTTATAACTTTTCTTATTGCTCTTTCATCTTGCTTATCAGTAGCATTCCCCAGTTTAAAGCTAAGTGCAATCAAAGATTTAGATAAAAGTATTTATACGTAGATACTCCTGGTCTTTATTCTTTGAGTTGCCTTCAGAATGGAAGCACGTAAATTGTCTACCCACGTACTGGTAATCTATTTAATTCTTAACTCTATAATCTTATATTTAAAAAATATTCATTTTTTAAGGACACCTCAGTGGGCAAAGCTGCTGCCAATGTCAGAGTAACCGTTTCCAGACTGGACGAGATCCAGGAGTGGAGATCGCTTCGAGCTGCCCAAACCGATGCGGATGGTCGTAGTCTGCTTTTGGAGCCTGGTCAATTTCCCAGCGGAATCTACAAGCTTACTTTTCACGTTGGCGCCTATTTTGCAGAGCGCCATGTGAGGACCTTTTATCCAGCTGTTGACATTATTGTGGATTGTAGTGAGAATCAGCACTATCATATTCCTTTGTTACTTAATCCCTTTGGGTATTCTACCTATCGGGGAACATAAAAACAATGTATTTTAAAGAAAAAACAAAAAGAAGTAAATAAAAGTACATAATTAAATGATACTTAGATGAACGCACTTAAATACAAAACGATGTATTTATATGTTATCTTTCAAAAACTCAATAAAAATAACAGTAGCGATTTTTGTTTAAAATTTCTGAAAGATCTTAAAAGGTTTGTTAAAATTCCCATCGATAGGTGAACCCCAAGACGGAGTTCGTGCATACTTCGTGTTCGTGGCACGGTCAATGTCCCCTCACGAACTCATCTCCATTCGCCAGTATAGTATCTTACCATCTCTAGGCAGCATTCGGTTGAGTTTGTATTTTGCGGATGTCGCGGGAGGTTCGTTCGCTCCGTTGTCGGTGTTTGGAATTGAGTGTTTTTGAAACAGCGATCGGGTCTTGTGCCGGTATTCTGAATGTAAGAAAAATATTTCAAAATATAATAACCTTAGCCAGTGGTTTTTGATAGATAAGTGAGTGAGATCCTTGAGTTCTGTTGATCTCAGCCTCCCACTGAGGCGCAACAGTTGTTTCCGAATAAGATTCTGTATGGAATTAATATCCGTGTGTGTTTTTTTAAAGAGCTGAGCGAGAAGTTGGATTTGTTATTGGAAAGTACAAACAGCGCTCCCATAGACACACACTCGATGCGGCCGAGCCAACAAATCCCCGACAAATCTTAAACCAGTTTTAAGATACATATTCTTGGTGTCAGTGTGTGCATGTTGATTTTTTCTGGCATTGTTTTCGTTTTTTTATTTCGTGCTGCTGGCTCTGCATCTTTTTTGTGTACCCGTACCCTTTTCGCTCGCCTCTAATCGCGTTTCCATTTTCTGGCCGCCGTCCAGATCCGAGGTTTTGGTTTTGGGTTTGGGTCCAAGCGAGCAACAAGTACCCCTGCCTAGTACCTATATCTATGTCTACACCCATACCCACACCGATGCCAAGTGCCTGCCCGCGTCTCGCTCCGTCTCCCATCTGAAAACCCGAAAACCACGGAAAGAAACGAGCTTAGATTCTAACGAGATCAGCACGCCAGTTGGTAACTCTTCCACAATTGGACCACTTTGAATGCTGTACGAAGCACCTCCAAAATACGGCGAAGATCGCACAAGAAACCCCGAAAGGTGAGTTGGGTTGGTTCTTGGTGACCTCATACGGTCTAGAGGAAACTAGGGATATCTTCTTTTTATACAGAAATCAAATGACTGTTGGCTAAAACCTGTTGCTCTACAGATAGCAATCAAAAATCAAACCAAAACATGGGTTGGAAACACGTCTTCTAATAACAATCTTAATTTTTAAAGCCCAATCTATTAATTTGAGAAGGGTTTACCTTTGTTTTTAGAACCATCTTTGTATATCTCTCATACAAGGAACTTTTAATAAGACAGTTTAGTATAAATGAATACCTTATTTCTGTCTACACTGTTTAAAAAAGACCTTTTTGGTTGTAATAAGTAATATTGCATATGTAAATAATAATAATAACAATGTTTAATAATTTGTTTAATTCAGCTTGTTACTTATCTTTAAAATTTAAAATCTATAACATTTATTAATATGCCAAAAATTGGTTTTACCTTAAGTGTCACCAAAAACTTGGTTTTGAGATAAAATTAAACTCATATATTAAGTAAATAAAATATACTTTATTAGGACAATTTTCTTAGTTAGTGGATAAACAATTGGCAGTTCCTACAGTGTAAATGTATAACATTATTCAAATCAATCTAGAATTTCGAGTGGTTCTGAAATCAAGTAAAGTAATAAAAGTCATGGATTGTGCAAAAATGTCCCCAGAACCAGTTGGACTACCAAAGCAAAATTAACACTTTCCTAATTCATTCGGTATACAAGTTCTTCGGAACGTGGGAAACATTTTATGTAAAATCTTTAATCTTAATTCAGTGTTGACTTAATTTCGAAAATATTTATCTTAAGCTGACCAGCCCGAGGATCATTACCTCACCGTCACTGCGACATTTCGGGCAAATGGGTTTACCTAATAATTGAAAGTTCGGCGCCGCATTAAAATGCAATCAAAATGACAACTTGCTAACGGTCAATTAATCAAAAACCTCAATGCCTGCTGCAAAAAAGCCGAAATATTGTGTATATGTAATTGATAATCGATACGACGATAAACACTTTCCTGGCCCGCAGCTCTGGCCAAAAACCAATCATTAATAACTGTAGCCAAGAGATAAATAAAACTATGGCTCTGAACACCGTTAGATGGGGCGCTGGAAAAGTGTCAAAAAACGTAACCTATGTGGGTATAATTTGCACTGACGTAAATCCAAAAAACCTAATATGCGATGATCGTTTAATCGCCGTAGGCAAATTAGAGAGCGGTCGACTGGCCAAAGTGCAGAAAAGAAGGCAAAAGTTTGCCGCAAAAACAAAACAGCAGCACCAGGAAAAAACATCGAAATACAACAGAGAAAAAACACAAAATAAAAAAACCTTTAAGTCTGCACAGTTGGGGGGTAAAAAATGGGGGGAAATCGCCACTGCTTGAGCATGTTTGTCGTCGAGTTCAGCTGACATCGCAAAATGGCAAGAAGCCTCTCTAAGATACACAGAAAAAAATAATATTTTAGGCCTAATAAACCAACTATTAGTAAACGTTATAAAGGGTTTTTTTTTTAACAAAAACGGTTAGATTAAAAATTGGTATTTAAATTTCAGAATTTTAAAGTCTTTTGAAACACTGGGCCCAATATTCCAACTATTGGTAAACATTATAAAGATTTTGTTAACAAAAACGGTTATAATGGTTATAAAAATGGAGTTCACAATTTAAACATTATAAGTTTTTTAAAACGCTTTAGTTCTTACTAAGTTGTAATAATACAAGAAATAATCGAATCTGTTTATTATATCATTTCCCTCATATAATGTACTTACATATTACACTTTTACCTTTACAATAGTATATTTCTGTCTTTAGAACTCAAGTAAGAAACAATAGTAAAACTTTACATTTGTTTTTATAAATTTTTTCATAAACTAAAGTTAAAAACTAAATAAACTACTTTTATTCATATCAATAATGAGTTCTTATATACCCATAAATAAATAAATAAATAAACTGGATATATTCGTTTTTAAAAGTTTCGATTATATTAAAGTTTTGGTTCTGTTTTCCCTATAACTATTATCTGTAGTTTTAAAAAACTATAATAAATACTAAGTTTTTAACAGTGTAGCTGAAATGGCAAGAGCAAACAGGAAATGAACCCGCATGCACTTTTTCAAGTACCTTTCGTTCGAATTCACTGGCCGATTGCATCGAGTCGTATACTCGTATACTCGAGCACCGGAGTTGGAGCTCCGACTTGAGCTTGAGCTTGGTCTAAAGTAAATTTTGTCGTCGTCTTGTGTTTCTTAGTTCGCTTTTAAGTTGTGCAACTACCCAGCATTGTTTACATGGGTTCCAAAGGGGTATATTCGAACTTGGAGTTGTGAGAACAATGCTGGATGTGCGAGCAATTGAATGCAAATTCTCATCAATTAAGTATCACCCTTGAATTCCATTGGGAAAATGCACTGGTATAATGCTGTTATGACTAGATGATTGAAAAATGTTCTTTTACATTACCAAGTCTTAAATAATTTTCTTATTTTCGTTCAAAATACCTTATAAAAACAAGTGTAGAAATATTTTAATGTCACATTCGTTTTATCTATACATTATAATTATAACGCCTACTAACTTGTTGAAATGTATATTTTTAGCTGGGTAAACTCACATTTTTTCCTGCAATCAAGTTTTTTTGATATAAAATAAATCACTTGCCCTTGCTTACAGTAGGTTTTTATGGACCTTTTTTGTTTTATTCATAGATAAAATCGGAAATCGCCATTTTCTGCGCTCGACAGTTCAATTAAAAAAGGTATCGCCATTGCGAATCCCCTAGGTTAGCCTTACCTTTTAGTTTTATTTCATTGCATTTTGTTTTGTTAATTTCCATGCAATTTCAGGGCATTTCATTTTGCTTGGGCGTAGTTGTTCCCCTACCCCAAGTAGATGTTTTTCGCAATGTTTGCGCAGTTGTGTGGGCATTTGCATTTGTATCTGTAGCCGAGTGCGGGGTTACAGATACAGAGGGTTGCAGGGGTGCGGATGCGGATGTGTGAGTCGGCCAACCTGTTCGGAACCCAAGGAAAATGACTCAGCACTGGGGTTTCGCATCCATATCCATAAGATACTTTTCGAGTAGACGCCGTAAAGTGTTTGCCGAGGACATGAGGGACTAAGAGGAGGGGTCCTTCTTCTTCCTTTCTGACCTGCACTCAAGCGTTTATCCGCCGAAGGTTTTGATTATTTTGTTTCATATGCCCTCAGCAGGTCTCATATTACTAGGAGGGAATGGGAATGGAATCGTATCCCCTGCCATCCGTATCTTTTCCTTCTTCGCTTTGTTCATCGCCCCTTGCCTCATTTCCCGTCTATGCATGGGGCCACTCTAAATGTGTTCAATGTGTAGTTTCCGATAAGCCAGCATTATGAAGCCATACTGGGTATCTTTAATATGACGGGGTACCCAATGAACTGGTATCGGATAGTATGTAAATAATAAAGAAACACATTGTATTTACAATTCTAAAAGAGAAATATTAAAAAAAGGGTTTCTTTAATGGTTGATATAATCAATCATCTCTTCTAAGCAAGTAAAGCACCAAATATTTATCATAATCATCTAAAATAAAAGAAATCTTTATCAAAAGATAGCTAAATACCAAAGAAATTTGCTTAAAATACAAATCTTGGTGGTATTAAATAGTTTAAAAAGGCAAAGTATGTCTATATCTGTTATATGTCAAATGATTTCTTTATGATCCAAACTTATATTTAAAGAATATAAGTATAGTTATAATCACAAATGTGCAAAATCTCTTCTGTTCATTTTCCAAACCCTAGTAAGTTCATAAATTATAATTATTTGCGATCACAATTACCTGATTAATTCGTGTAAGACAGACGACCTTGACAATCTCTGCCCCCAAAGTCTCGGCACAATTATCGTGTTTGGGTTTAATTCCACACGCTTCGTCCAATGTTTACCAAATAGATTTGGAGTGCGCTTAGTATACCTTCCTCGGCAACCTCCCTACTTACCCACTAGAAAACCCAAGTGGATTGCAGCAGGTGGCGTGACTAAGACATTCCGCCATGGCAAAGTGAGTTTTTCAAAATTCGAAACTAATTTCAGAGTTTTTGTGGCTCTCCATGCGCTTTATAGTTCAGTAGCTGCTGCTACTGCTGCTAACGAGCATTATTTCAGTCTGCCAACCAAGCCTTTTATTTCAGCCAATTTCTTATATTTTTATTTCGGTTTTTGCACACACACACACACGAGCACTTTTATGGTTTCGGCATTAAAAATGTGGCGCAAAATTCAAACATTGGAGTGTAATTGAAAAAAGCATGAGAGATGCCTCATGGGTGGGGCTGGTGGGGGTTTTCGGGGGCTGTCGGTTGGACGGGGATGGTATTAGTCGAAGTCAGTCGCGCACTAAATCCCAATGGTAACGCACCCATTAATCACAAAAGAGAAACAATGATGCTTGGACGGGCGAAAAAGTGGTAAAAGCCGCAGAAATACTCGTTACCAAAACAAAGCAAGTTGAAAAACTGCTAGCAATTTCTTAAAGATGTTCCTCAAAGATACCAGTCGAGTGTTAATTAATAAGTTTTATGTTTTGCCGGTTGTACCTGAAATTCTAAAAATATAAGCATACAATACTTGTGAGTCATTGGCGATTCTTACATAGAATGCGATCACTTTCGCCACAGCATCTAGTGATTTAATTGTCTGACATTTCGACATTTCGGGGTGTGGTACACTCGTCACCCACTCTATAAAGTCTAATTAATTCGAATTGCGTTGTGCAAAACAGTTAGCTTCTGTCTTTGCCAATTTCGCTGGTTTGGGGAACGGCTGTAATGGGGTAATTAAAAGCAATGTTAATGGGACTCAACTGGGGGAGGGATACGCCATTCTTATAGACAAATGTTTGCAAAACGGGGAGAGTAACACGCTCGTGAGTATGTGCAACTAATTAATTAGGTAAATGTGAATAGGGAGGGTAAATGTGAATGTAAATATAAAAGACC